GTAGGATGAACAATTTTTTTTTTTATTACTACAATTATGGATGATGAATTTACAAAAATTTGTACGTAAAAACTTTTTATAAACAAATGTTATGTTGTATAAAAAATTGAATCTACGACCCTCGCGTCCGTAGGTTAGGTAGTAATCAATTTCGTTTTTAGATTTTCATTCTATTTATTCCCATTTATTTTTACTCTACAACATTTACTACAGGATCTGTTAAAAGTATTCAAATCACTAGTGGTTAATACAATAGGTATAATATAATCGATATATGTTTTAACTATATATGTTTTATCTCGATACATACATGTTTCTACTCTACATGCTTTAACTTCATATAATTTTAAAGATTCTTATACAAAATTTGCTCCGTTCGGCGCGATGGCGGCAACAGCGAAAAACCACTGGTCGCTCAGGTGTATCTGCGCCTCTCTTAAATGAGATATTCCATATCTTCAAACATTTCCCCCTCGATGTCATCCGCTGTTGTATTTTGTCGGCAGTGATATACGTACGCATTCATAGACACCTTTTCGCCTGTACGCACACACTTGTACGTTTCATCAGGACAGCTACAGCTAAAGAAGAAAAGAAAGAATAAAATGTCTTTTATAGTGAACTGATGTATTCAGTCAAGGAGTAACAGATATCGAATACTAATTATCTGAATATTTTTATCTAGTATTTCATAAATATTTCACAAATATATCAGAGCTATTATATATAATATACAATAAAAAATATAATAAAAAATAAAATATTATATTTGACAAATATATTAGAGTTTAATATATTAGAGATCTGAATATTTTTATCTAATATTTCATAAATATTAGACAAATATATTAGATAAAGGAACAAAATGAAACAATGAAAATTGTACTATAATATGAATAGCGGAATTATTGCATATATATATCATGATATCAATACTGTAAGTAGAAATACTGTGGGTAGAATTTTCATCAAAAAAAAAAAAAAAAGTATTTAGTTGATAGCTTCGCAGCATCGTAAATTCATTACTTACGTATTCGGCATGAAAACTGTGGTCTGTCGTGTCTCAGAGTCGTAGGTATTCCATCCGCACGGTGTATCGTAGCAAATTCTATTTGGCCGATCCTCTACGCTTACAGTTGCCCTTTGTAACCGCCGGTTGTCAAACTGCATTTCCTTGACAAGCTTCTCGAGTTGTTCAGCGAATTCCTAGAAAAACAGTAGCAAACGTTAAAATGTTAGAACCAAACGAACATGTAACAGACGTCACATGACGATTCGAATGAATTAAAAATTTTAGAAAACCATTGGTGGTGTATTACATTGGAAGAATCAATTTCGAGAGTATCTTTTTCATCTCGAGTACTCTATTTTCTGCAGACTCGCTTTGAATCAAGGAAAGGTCCTAATGGTTAATAGTTTGAACCAAGACATAAGACTACGAACAAAGACAGTGACTTCCCCCTCAGCTATTTGTCAAATTGTCG